GATGAGGAAGAAAGATGCTGGAGAATTATATGTGGCATATAAATTCTTCTGTTAAAAACAGTCCACATTTGGACTAACTGCTAATATAAATGCACAAGAAATAAATAATAAGGGATACAAACCAGAGCAGTTATTTCTCAGGTAAAGAAAGCTTTAAGACTTTATTTTGTTTGTTTCAATACCACTGGACATTTTTTTTGCCAAGAATATTCAATATTTAGAAGAAAAATAATAAATTACCATGCTGTTGGAAAAAAAAAAAAACCCACCCTCCCACAGACAAAGCCTACTAGACTGGATAATACAGGAAACGGACTGGCTGATATATATTTATGTTTATTTATACATATGTAAATAAACAACACCCACAATAGCTACTTCAAAGGAAGAGACAACATGTACTTGGGAAGAAAAGTAAACAAACCCCTCTGAGCTTGCCTATTACATCCTGGCAACCGTGACACTGTCGAAAGCCTGGGTTTTTCCGAGGCTGGTAACACCTCTCTCTGTGTGTCTCTCTGTCTCTATCTCTGTCTTTCTCTGCTCCCCCCTTTCTTTTGCAGATTAGATAGCTTTTTGGAGAGAAAAACAAACTGGTATTGGGAACCCCAGCATTTCAGTGCCATCCTTAGCAACACCCTCTGACACACAGAATGTCCAACTCACAAGCCCACATATGCATAGAAAGGCTGTGGGTCAGGCCATTTCAGAGGCAGAGTGCCCTCTAGGTTGCTGGGCCTGTTTTCACCTGGAGCCTGGCCATATCACAGCACAAAATGGAAGAAAAGAATGGAATTGTGGTCCACACAGTGCCATCTTCAGTTTCTGAGGCCCACATATGATTTATACATGTACTTGGTGAGGTTTTATACTCTGCCTTTAAAAGCCTAAACAAAAATAAAATTCAAACTTGCTATAACGCCAGTCACAGTAGAAAGAGCATCGCTTTCTACTGTGAACAAACACTTTCTATTCATCAAGATTGATAACGTTCCAGCCACACAAATGTAGTTTGGCCATGTATTAGTTACTGTGTGTGTTGCTGGGACATAACACCTGACAGAAGTGACTCAAGGGAGAAGGGGTTAATTTTGGATCAAGGTGGCAGGAGACTGAAGTGGCTGGTCACAATGCAGTTATGGTGAACCTTCCCACTTCAATTAACTAAATCTAGACAATCCCTCAAGGACATGCCCAGAGATTTGACTCCAAGGTGAGTCTGGATCCTGTCAAGCTGACAATATAAGCCATGAAGACTTATTAATCAATAAGTCTATTAACGTTTGAGTTTGAAGTACACTTAAAGTAACTGGTAACACGAAAGAGAAAAAAGAACAATTTTTCTGGGGCAGAGGTTACAAAGAAAGAACTGCCTGAACAGAATCTTAAAAGACATGTAGACGTCTACAAGGGCAGAAAAGTGGGGACACTTCAGGTGTGTGAAGAATGCATGAAAGGCAATACACTGGCCTGTAATGGAATCCTGGCCCCACAGTCACCTCCTGGATAATGTGGTCAGCACTGGTAGACTTCACAACAAATCCGAGAATCACAGCAATCTGAATACATATGAAGTCATTTCAATTTAACTTTAACAAAAATAAAGCTTCAATTATTTCTTCATCTTCAAAAAGTTTTGAATAAACAACACCTTCACATAGCTCTCCAAAATAAAAACATGAGAACATATGCCATGAAAAGCCTCTATTCCTATTTCTTCCCCTCTTACCGCTCACAGCTAATTATTACTAGTTTTGTGCTAGTTAATTTATTTTTTACATCTCCCTTTGTAGGCCAGGCTAGCCTGAGACTTGCAGTCCTCCTGCCTCAGTCTCCCAAGTACTAGAGTGTGCTACCATGCCCAGCATCACTAATTTTTAACGTACACTTCATACTTAATGCATTTACAAACAAATATACGCATGTTCTATTGTCCTGCCTTCTGTACAAACTGTAATGTGGACACTGCTCCCTATCGCAGTCTTTTTGTTTTGTTTTGTGTTACTTTTATTCCTTAGGTCAGTAGTGACTGAGCACAGAGACTCCTGCCATACAGATATTTGGGACTGAGAGATTAAGTAAACATTAAATGTATCTGGGTTTGGTTGTTGTCTTTCAGTAGCAGGGACTGAACCTAGGGCCTCACTCATGTTATACACTCCACCATGAAACTAAATTCCCAACCCCTAAACCTACCTAAGGAGATAGGCCATGTACGAGGGTGAGATAGGTAAGTAATAGCAAGATCTGACTGATGAGGAAAGCAGACACTTGGGACAAGGTAGGTCTTAGGGCTTTAGTCACAATACCAACTGGCACAGATTATCTAAAATGAATGGAAATATAGTGTTGGGAGTCCAGAAGAATGACATCTGTAAGTCCTTGAAATCATCACTGTGGGGAAGGTTGAATCACTCATTAGCAAATGCCTTAGTCTCAGCATTAGGGTTGGGGCTTGGACTTCAGGGTTTGGGAATGTCTCAATTCTTACAGGATGATTTTTCTGAGATTAGCAGTCTAGGTGACTTAAGACACAGAATGGGAACCTAATGATCAATGTTCCTGTCCTGTGTCCTGGGACAGCTTATTGATGGCTCATAGGGTAGGACAGGGTGAAGTAGGGTTAAAGAGTTAGAGGGCTCTTAAGTATATTTATATTTCAAACTTGATCAACCTTGCAAGGAACAAGGTTGGAGATCAAGCACTCAGTGAAAAACCAGTGGACCAGTGATACTATCTTTGTAATTATAAATCTGTATTTCCATGTACACAAGCAGGTACAGGAAATGTCATCTTGTTTTAATGGAAGGATTCAATATAGTATTACCAGCTTTAAGGACTGTTGTTACAGCACTTTAAAATTAGCATGAAGTTAATAAATATAGCAACAGAGAATGTATAGAGCCAATATAAAAATGTGGGGACATTTTGGTTGTTTGGAGAAATGCAAATAGTTTATTTAGCTTTGTAAATAAAAAGATTAAACATTAATCTGAATAAATAGATGTAACATTAAAGGTGCCATCAACTTGGGGATCTTGGGAGAATTTATGCCTTCTCTTTGGGAACAGAGGCCACTGGTGGCCCTGACATAGGTGTCTCAGTAAGTAAAAAGCTTGAAGGAAAGGACCAGGCCTGCTGGGGAGGGTAGACAGAGACATGGATGATCTGGAGAATGGGGAGGGTACCCTGGCACCATGGTACTCATTAGGTGAACCACAAAGAATTTGCTTTTGCTTTTTTTTTTTTTCTTTTTCTTTTTTTATGATGCTGGGGAATCAATCATCCCAGAGCCTTGCACACGTTAAACATTTGCTCTACCATTGAAAGACATCCTAGGCCTGAACCACACCAGATTTCAATTGAGTCAACTTTTGTTTCCCAGTAATTCTGGTCAGGGTGATGGCTGAGGAGGAGGGCCTGGCATCTTTGAGCTACAAGTTCAATTGGCCCTCTCAGTTATGACCTGATATGAAGAGACATGAAGTTGAAGACACATTGGTGACCTGGGGAGATAGGTTAGTCAATGGTCAAAGCACTTGCTGGACTGGAGTTCATGTCCTCAAAACCCATGTGAATACTAGGTAGGCATTACTGACCACCTAGAATTCCTGAGCACTGGGAAGGTCGAGAGGGGAATACCCAGAGCAAACTGGCTAGTAAGACTGGTTGGCAGTGGAGACTCCAAGAAGATGTTCATGATGCCAGAGCTGTGATACCAAGGAGAGCTGCATACATGAAATGGTACTAGCCCAAGAAAGAGATGTATATTTCACACAGCAAAGCTACAGAGGCCAAGCCATGTAAGCCCTTTGGAAGCAAAGTCACAAAAGCAAGCTCTGGATTTCATTAAGGGATCCCATCTCAACAAATAAGGTGAAGAGTGATCAAGGAAGACGCCCATTGTCAATCTCAGGCCTCCACACGCACATGCGTACACACACGTACATCCAAACCCCCATACGTGCGTGCACACACCCCACATACACAAACACATACATAAGGAAAAGAAAACCCCATATCAGTAGTGACAAGAAAGGTGATTGCACCTGCCTCCTTTCTCCAGCCTCAGGGAGACAACAGGCAGGTGAGAAAGACCACCAAAGTTTACGAGTGAGTGAGAACACGAGGAAGAGGTGGAAGGAAGCTAAGGGGTGGAAGAGAGAGCGGGGCAAGAGAAGGAGACAGGAAGAGGGAGAGGCAACAGGCAAATCCAGAAATGGACCACAGAGCCTCTTCTTCCAGTGAGAGGTATTCACTATCCTTGAGGATGGGCATGAAATAGAACAGAGGCGATACCTGGCTGGCTCCATTCTAGATGACACTTAAGGACAGTGTGGCCTGAACCACTTTCTGCCTGTTTCCTTCTTAGAGTTTCTGCCCTCTACCAGCTCTGCCAACACTGGGATCCCTGCTTGCTTGGATGTGGTCCTTGCCGCTGGCTAGACCTGTTCTGACTGCTCCTTCCTTGACCTCTGGGGCTTGGCCTCGGGGCCTCTCCTCAGTGCTGCCCAAGTGCTTCTCAGTTGCAGCCTGGGAGTGTGGGCAAGTACCAAGGAGCCAAGTCAGTGCTGTGAAGAGACTGTGGCTGGACCACCGAGAACACTACAGAGCAAGACAGGGACACCGTGGAACCATCCTTGTAGTTCCCCGGGACTCCGTCTTCTGCCCTGGTTCTGAATACCGCCACAAATGATTTCCTGGCTTCAGGAACCATCATAAGAAGGTTAAGTGCTGGCCATAAAGGCCAAGGACCAGACTCATTCACTGAGACTTGTTATTTATTATCATGCATTTTGATACATCATGTATATATTATACAAGGTACAATAAATTAGGTAAGTTATATCGTATAGTTTGACACAGTAATCATACATAACTATACAATACATATTTATATAGATATTATCTAAGAATGTATTGCTCAAACAGATTGTTTATATGGTTTAATTCCTTAAAGTATTTACTTCTGAGAAACAACGTTGAAAATGAAGCATTACCTTTTTAAATATTCCAGACTCTGTAGACAAAGGGTCAGGTACCTCATAAGGGCCGTGAAATAATTGTGATTCTCCGCCCTGCAGTGTAAATTCCTGTGATTCTCCTTGGCTTCCATCAGGTATATCCAAAGGTCTTTATAAAGAGTGGAAACAATCATGTCAGTCAACCATCAAGAACACCAAAAACTGAAGAGATAAAGGCATACTCTTTATGTATATTTCCAACAAGCCAAAAATAACAAACTGTTCTTCAAAATCTACATGTCTTTGCAGATAATTGGTCGAAAACTCTTACAAGCTATTTATAAATCAATCTTGATGATGTTACTATATAGCTAACTGTATTCTTTTAAACCCCATGCAAAAACAAATCAGCATGGGTAGATACACAGGTAACTGTATGGGTAGATTTCTGGCATGAAGGCATACCATTTCATTTTGCAGTTTCTTGGTTGCTTTATTGTCATTGCTTTTAATAAAAAACAAAAACCACCAAGTGCGATGGGTCACACCTGCAATCCTAACACTAAGGAGGCTTGGGCAGAGGATTGCTAGGAGTTTAAAGCCAGCCTGGGCTACAGAGCAAGACCTTGTCTCAAAAAAAAAAAAAAAAAACAAGAAACAACAAATTCCTAAGTTTCTTGAACACTGGAAGTGGGAACTAAATCCCAGTTAGAAGATCTACTGGGTGTGTCCAACCTGTGGCCTGTGGGCATACTGACCTATGGCTATGAATGGCTGAACACAAAATCATAAACTTACTTAAAACATCGAGGGGTTTTTAGGCAATTTTTTGTACATCTATTGTGCAGTTCTCAAGTGTGAACTCTATAGATGGCAATGCTATCAAAAAGCTGGACACATGATGGCTATACCAGGACAAGATCACTTCCCAGAACTGTGAAATGTATCAGGCTTAAAAGGAATAGGAGGTGATGAAGGTAGAAACAGTGTTCTAGCTGATATCTAGAATGAGTCTAGAAAGAGTGTTCTGGACTGATGGTGCCTGACCCTCAACTTTTTTCTTTAAGCAACCTCCTACCATCCTCTCCCAACACACATTTTCCTTGCCTAGAACATTATTTTGCTCTGGCACCTATCCCCTACATGACCCATAAGCCACATTCAACCTTAGTAGTCAATCGTGGTTGGTCCAATCCTGGTGTCTCCATCCTTTCACCAGTAATTAATTTAGGAACATTCCATGCATACCTCTTTTGCTGATATTTCCGCATTGCTACATGTCTCTGTGACCTGTACACTGTTCGTATTTGGCTCTAATTCTTTGGCACAATTTTGACCAATGAGAGATGTGAGGGATATGTGCAGAGGAATGGAGGAAAGGTCTCCATTCAAAGAAGCCTACCTACAGGAAGAAAGAGTCCCCTTCCCTGAAGGAAGGGTCGTGTCTGCATGTGGTGAATACAATGGCTACCTTGGGACCATAGGAGGCATTAAGCACAGGAGAATAGACTGAAAAGAAAGCAGGACAGAAATATAAGAGCAACTGTAATATCTCCAAAGCTATCCTGTTAATGCCCCAATAAATGCTCCATCTTTAAGCCATTTTGAGTGGGATGTTCTCTGTTTATCGTAGTTTATAATTAATATGAGTTCATATATATCTATATTAACTATTTAGTTAAGGCTGGCATAAAGATACTAGAGCAAGATACAGGCTTTTAATGAAAAATACCAGTGAAGCAGACAGAGAATTAAAATTCATGGCCTCAGTGTTTCACAGAAGAAATAGAAACTTTAGTGGAATTTCTACAATGTGTCAAGGATAAAAAGATATATGGGGCAGTTTTAGAATTCCAGGAGATATAAATCAATGAGGAAATATCACCAAGAAAGCTACATATGAGAATAGCTGTTTTACTTTTTGTTTATTTTGTTTTTGTTTTTTAGTTAGAGTTTCATGTAGTCCAGGCTGGCCTCAAACTTGCTGTGCAGCCAAGGGTGATCTCAAACTCCTGACTCTCCTTCCTTTACTTCCTGAATCCTGGGATTACAAGATTACAAGCAGGCACCACGAGGTCTGGCACTATATGGGCATAATTTCTCGAAGACTGAGCATAGTGAAGTATCTTGTAATCAAACACTCAGGAAGTAAGGCAGAAGGATTCCAAGGAAGGATTCAAGGACAGCCTGGGCTATAGCGTGAGACTATGTCTGTCTAAAGGAAAAAAAAAAAAAAAATCTCTCTAGCTGGAACAAGTCTCATTCTGAACAAATTTATTTCATGAAACATTTTATACTATAGTTAAGCATTTATATATAGTATAAGCACTTATATATAGTATATATTTATATATTTCTACAGTCTGAAAGAGTGCTTTAAGGGGGATCATGAGTTCAAAGTCACCGTGGGCTATATAGAGAAACCCTATCACAAAACAAACAAGCAATCTAAGAAAAAATGCTTTACCTCTGAGGCCAGTCTTTCCTTAAGAATTTAAAGACACTGGATGGAGGCAGAGGCAGGCAGATCTCTGGGAGTTCAAGGCCAGCCTGGTCTACACAGCAAGTTCCAGGCCAGCTGGGGCTACAAAAAAAAAAAAAAAAAAAAAAAAGAATTTAAAGACAGTATATAGAAACCAAAATTCTCAGGAGAATTTAGATAACAACTGAAAAATACCTTGCAGCTAGGAAAGTACAAAGACTTACCAAAGACATGTCTTCGCATCAAGACCTAATTTCATAATTGTTCCACTACCTCTAACCCTCAATGCTCACCTGTCCTGCTCACAAATATGCCCAGAAGAATAGAAAGAGATGCTTAGAACTTGAAAATGAAAGGTTATTCTAGCCATCCTGGGTTCATAAATAGAGCTGGTAAGCCAAAATTGTATAGCTAGGCTGCTGTCCTTCCTAGTTTTCCTTTTTGGAGAAAAATACACGTACTTATCAAATTACCCAAGAGACCACAGGATGAAAGTGATCTCGTGTTTCCTAAGCTTTACAACGTCAGAGGTACGCATGCAAGAAAGAAGCTGTCTCCTCCTAGTGCATCTTACATCAAATGGTTCAAAGTTGGCAGGAGTGTTCTTTCTATGTATTTTGCTTGTGAGTCAATCCCTGCCTTCATAGGATCCTTTTTGCTTACAAGTAACACAGAGTCCAACTCTCAGAAAACCCATTAAAACCAAAATTGATTAACTCATAAAACAAGAGGAGCCACTGAGTAAGTTGAGTCACTGTATTCAATTGCTGTCAAATTCTGTGATATCTCCAGTTCAGGATGTCACAGAAAGGTATGATTTTCCTAGGGGATGACAGGACTATCTTCCTATATATCTCCCTTAGAAATGAAGAAATCTCCCCCGGAAGTCATTTCTTATGTGTCATCACACACCTGACCAGTCACTAGATCTGCTTCTTTGATGCTAGAGCCTGAAGGACAACACTGACTAGAGACTAGGTCTTTGAAAACTTTGGGGTTCTAGTAGGAAAAAGTAGTTGGGAGAGGTGGACATGGATGTTCTTCATCAGCTCCCAGCTTTATTTTGAAACATGTTCCCCATACTTCCTGCAACATTGGTAGAGACAGAGGTGGTGTATGTTTATGACTGAATCTGAAATATCAAAGTAGATAGAAACTTGTGTGAATTGGGCCTCATAGCATAGTGAATTAAGGGCACCTGCTTGTCCTCCTGACTTGCAGGGTAAACTAGCAAGACTTAGCATAGATCCAAGGGTTGATTCTGTAGACTTGGAATCTTGATCTCCCAGGCTCAAGATACACATGGCCCTGGAGTAGGTTTTTGATCAGTGGCCAGAAGAGGAAAAAGAACTACCATAGGAACTACATAGTTTCAAGGAGGGTCCTGGTTCAATACCACTTTGAAATAGGAAATGCTGTTTATGGTATACCTAATACCTTCTGACCTGCCCTTGAGTGAGGCTGAGGCCGAGGGACAGGTGACTCCCCTTTCCTTGTGACCCAGATTCAGGGAGGGTGGCTGTGCACCTGGCCACACAAGTTATCATCTCACTGTTTATTCCAGGATTTGTGTATGGGGTCAGACAAGGTTATGTGCCATGTGGGCTGAGAGAGTATCACAAGGAGAGCTCAGCCTGAGGGCAGATTTTTACCCGACCCAGATGCTCCTACCATCCCATAAGTACTCCCCACTTCCTCTGGAACATGTCAGCCGCAGAACTCCTAAGCACAGCATATTTATTGTATAAGTGTTTCTCCTAAAATACAACTTTCATGCTGTGGATGTAGCACAGTGGTATAGTAACAGCCTAAAAATACAACCTTCACAATGTATTATAGAAAGAATAGGTTTGGGGGCTGAAGAGATGGCTCATCAATTAAGAGCACTGGCTGCTTTGCAGAGGACCTGGGTTTGGATCCCAGCACCCATATGGCAGCTGACAACTGTCTGTAACTCCAGTTCCAGGGGATCTGACATCCTCTGCTGATCTCCACAGGCATTGTTCAACACAGGTCCACTTACATACATGCAAACAATACACTCATATACATAAAATAAAAATAATTTTTTTTTAAATCATTTTTAGCCCCTCACAAGGCGAGCTGATTTAGGGTGTCCCGGGCCTGCCATTGCTCCCTCTCCTGTTGCTGGGTGTGTCGGCCTGCACATTTGCTCTCCCTTCTTAGAGCTTGTACATGGTGCATGTCAGTCTTAGACTCATAAGATGGCACTTGTTGACCTATTTGCCTACATGAAATATACATACACATGGCTTTATCTGTTTCTGTGTGAGAAATACTGAAGAAGAAAGAATACTTGTGAGATTTTGTGTCTTGTAGTTACAGAAACCAGTGACTTTTAAGGACATTGCTGAAGTTCACTCAGGAGGAGTAGATGACTCTGAACTCTGCTTGGAGAAGTCTATACAGAGGAATTGTTGAGAAACTATATAAATCTCATTGCAGGGGCTGGAGAGTTGGCTCAGCGGTTAAGAGCACTCACTGACTGCTCTTGCAGAGAACCAGGATTTGAATCCCAGCACCCATATGGCAGCTGACAACTGTCTGTAACTCCAGTTCCAGGGGATCTGACATCCTCTGCTGATCTCCACAGGCATTGTTCAACACAGGTCCACTTACATACATGCAAACAATACACTCATATACATAAAATAAAAATAATAAAA